CCTATCCGGCAGCCCGGCCGGATAATACGACAGTAATAAATGTACATGTACTTTTGTTTGAAAATGTCCCCAGCAGAGTTGTGGGTTTTAAGATGATGTCCGAAAGGTGTGGCTGAGGCTAGATGATTAAAGCCACAAGTGAGTGGCTTAAGCATTTGCCGCAGACTTGTGTAATTCTGTCAGCCTAAGCCGGCTGATTTGGAAAAGGTCCATCTTCAGGCAGTTGACACATGTACAAACAACAGGAGGTACCCAGTGACTGTTTTCTCAACTTTACAAATTGTGAAAACTCTAGCTGTGTGAGTGGAAATTTTTTTAAGAACCTCTAAATTTTACCCTAAAGAGCTGGGGGAGAAAATCTGCCTCCATTTAACATATTTTTCAATATTATCAAGGTGCATATTTTCCAGAAGCATTCTGGAGTTTTTTTGAATAACTCTTTTTGGTCATTTTGACACCATTTTTGTGAAAATCCAACATACATGTACCGTTCTCGCACAGTACCTTTTTTCAGACAGCTAGAGGTGAATCAAGAATGTATACTTTATGCTGCCATTCCCAACTTCCAAGTGACTGTCAAACCACAAATTGAGATAAAACTTCAATATTTGTATTGAAAAGGAAAGAAGGGCCAAATCTACCTGCAAAAACTGATTTCTTCACAGATGGCAAATATGACAAGTGACAGCTTTTCTACCTGCTGTTTTCTCCATCCACTGTTCTTGCTCCTCATCACTGTCAGAGTGGCTGTCACTTGAGTCCTCACTGGAACTTGAGTCTCTCTTGAGCCCACTTCTTGACATGCTTGGGAAGAACAAAAAGGAGATAAATACGAATGTTATCACTGACTACATGTAGGTGTTAACTTCTCTTAATGACTTCCTCCTACATTTAAAACAAAACAATGCATTCCTTCAGCTTTTACTGTTGTCACAGCAACATCCTTCATTTATTGTTGAAGCCCACTAACTGCATGCCCCTAACTTTGGCGCAGTTTGATTTTTTGCCTCCAATGCCCTGCCGGAGCAACATTTTTACTTCAAATTTTAAAGTGAGTGAAATTCCATCAAACTTCCACTAATCTAATTCAAAAGTCCTGATTTTACTCACCCACTACAACGTCCCAATAACATTTTTATTTTGGCTCAATTTTCCATTTTTTTTTCTTTAATGCAAAATGGACACTTCTAAACCTGCCCAAAAATTAAAAATGATTTTCTAACAAAGTTTTGTTTAAGTGTATGTAAATTGAGCTAATGATAGAAATTATCAAGTTTACAGAACTTCAATATCTGTTTTTTCAATCCAGCCTTTGAGGTATCATGGCCGGTGACACAAAATCAACTTTTCCAATCAAATCTTCATGTGAGAGCAACTCTAAGGTACCTACATGCACATGTATACATGTAGCTCTTTAAAACTATGTAATTAATGCTGGTTTTTAGACTTTAAGACCAATCTTATTTGAAAAATTGAGGGTTTGCTAGCATATCTCCCGTTTTCTTCCCAACAATCACATTGTACTGAGCAATCTTTGTGCATCACATGCTCAGTGCACACACATGCTTGGGCCAATGACCAATCACCATCGCAGATCACAGAACAAAAACAATAGCTGCTTCGGCAATGTAGCCGAAACAGCTAAATACAAAACTGAACAAAATTATGTTAGTAGAATTTATCTAAAAAACTTGTATAGAAACACTTTCAGAAAGAAATAAAAAAGAACTTTTAAGCCTTATGGAAAGAACAAAAGTGATGAAAGTAAGTGTAAACTTAGAAAACTGAAATGTAAAAAAAAGTTGTATCAAGGTTGTTAAAACCGAAGCGTTTTTGAAACGAGCGGATTCGGCTGAGACTTTGGTTTCAATGGTTCCAGCCATTTTGAAGCAGCGTTCAAAACCACTGTTCAAGCTCTGACTGGAACCGGCGAAAGTGAAGTCAAAGCCGAATCCACTTGTTTTGAAAATGCTCATTGTTTTGAAAGACTTTTATCACGCACAAGCGCAATGGCGACTTTTTGCCCGATTCACATCACATCAGCGATGTATTTTCCCCCAGTGCGAGATCTTGCGGAAGAAAATTGGAAATGATGGCAGAAAAAAAAGAATTTGTAAGAAATTCATGAATGCAGCATTTCAGGACGTTCCTCCAAGTTCACTTTGAGATACAGTTTTTGAGGAATTTGGTTAAAATTTGCAAAAAGATACGGACTAAAATTACCTTAGAAACCTTGTTCTGCCACCGAATTTAACGATTTAAAAGCCTGAGTGGTACAACATAATGTTGTCTCCTCGATAGATGGCACCATTTTTCAACTTGGTTTGTCAAGAGGGGAAGGCCAAACCAAAATTGTACTGCTGCATCAAGTGCAAACTAAGTCTGAAAATGGAAGCGCGTACAACAGTCGGCTGATTTGGGTGGTCTGATTTTTTCTGCTTTTGCAAGAAGTGAGGTACATTTTAAAAATTATTTCAACATTTAATGAAAGAATAAAGACTTATGAACATTAAGGAGTAATGAAGAGCTGGATTAGCTAGTTTGGGACAGAGCAATATTCAATCGAAAAAGGACAGTTTTGTGTGACGGCAGAATAGGAAATGTCTTAACTTGGATATGTGGGTGTTATAGGCATACCTACATGTACTTTAATACAGGTATGCTAGTGTGTCGAAACTATAGCTTGGAGATTTTCAGAGTTGACGAGACCGAGTTGACTTGGAACCAAGTTGACCTGAGATAGAGTTGACTCAGAGCGAGTTGATTCCAGTCCATACATGTAAGTTGGTGACTTTACACCATGCCATACAGTGTGTTTATTGTCATATTGCGCCGGACAATATCCGAATCTTTAAAAAAGGCAATTTGTAGAGTCTGATCTACATCATCCTGATGCAGACACGTCAAATATCATTTCAAAAATTTACATATGCACACATGCCAAAGTGAAGTTGGGCTTGTTGGGCTTATCATGGGATGGGCAGCTGCACGTGAGCACATCATCACACCCAATGACTTGTTTGGGAATGTTATTATAAACAATTTGCGAGATGTGTGCAAAGTCTAAGTGGGCATAGGCCTTTTCCCAGAAATGGGCCATGTGCATGTACTGTAGGCACGCCCAGTGTTAATCCTTGTCCTACTCCTACTTCTTATTCCCACCTCCATGATTCAACATGGTCTTTTCTTTTCTCCATGGTCAAGGACTACACCTACGATCTTTTATATATTCCTGTAAAGTGTAATTTGTGTGGAATAATAAAAGCAAAATACATTACATTGCACTTACTCCACATCACGTAGGTGTGCCAGCGATTCCTCAGTAATTTCTTACGTGTTGTCTAGTTGATGATACACAAAAGTCATGAAAATAAACGGATTAAAGCGACCACCATCCGCTCAGTATCACGTGTACATGTACATGTACACGTACGTACGTGGGCCGGGCCTGCACACCGCACCCACGTGTTTGAAGTCCGTCTCGCGCAGTGCGCGTGTTCTGAAAACGGGTTTTCGATGCAGCGCGAGCTTCGCGTACTGACGTCACCACGGAGTCTTGGCTTAAAGCTTCACCCGTTTTCTTAATTGAAGGGTTCATAGCCGCATCATTGACAATCAATTCATTCATTGCCACACCAAAATGTGTATCAAATCAAAGGAATCGCAGAGAACTGTACTCTTTTTCTATGTAAACTCCCCCAAAACGTATTAAAGGTGAAGTTATAGATAAATGAAATCATGGTCCATGTATTAAAGGTGGCAATGGCAGGACTCCTAGATCACACGAGGATGTTAAATGAATGCTATCCAAGCTGACAAATTTGACATACATGTAGATATGAAAAGAGTGCAGTGTAAAGCATATGAAATATGAATCAAAATATAACAACAAATGAGGAATAATATAGAATAAATGAATGTTAATTTGACCTCATGTAATAGTTTAAAATACAGACATCCCCAAAGCTGATCGGTACAAACCTTTCCAGAATGATTACATTTGAAAAAAAATAAAAACTTCCAAACAGTAGGTCAGCAAGATCAGCATTTTGTGAGGGGAAGATCTCCAACTTTTAACAAAATTTTTCCGGGGGGGGGGTGAAAGAAAGGGAAATATTTACGCACAAGCTTGCTTTCCTTTTGGTGCTTCCTGTGAGAACCATGTGCATTAGCCCAGCTCTAGAACACAAATCACAAATCTTTCTACACCACTTCCTACTCCTTGTGGTGTTTGACAAGTGACATTAACAAAGAATAAAATAAGCACTCAAGATATGCTCTCCATCTTTTGTGAATCGTCCATCTTTAATCTTGGCATATCATAGTGACCACTGGCAAGGAAAAAAATCAGACAGGTCCTTGATTCTTTTAAGTGGTGATCCTGTGTAATGTAGGACATAGCCTTTGACTTGATAAAGTCGCTAAAACATGTTTAACCAATGAAATGGAGAAACAGACAAAACAAATTTTTGAAAATGTGCAACAGTTTTCAGTGTTTTTTTTTACTAATACTACTTAAAATATGTCTTCTCTCATTAAAGGTTACCCAAAGTCAACAGTTGTCCTTAGCTGTTGACCTTTCACTATTGTGAAGATCTTTGACAGAAGGTTCCATCCAGCAGTCTCAATGCTACAGCAATATTCCAAAGATATTCATTCTGTGTTGAACTTTAAAACCAAACACGTTCCACGGATACAACTTCAAAGCAACTTTTCCAGTGCTGTCTAATCACCCAAGTTTCCTTCTCACTATCTTAAAAAGCATACCTTTTACAAAATCACATTTCCTGCTACACACTTTTGCAATTCCACGAAATCACCCCAGCAGTAAAAATTGTGGAACACTGCACAGTATTTTCATACCGAAGATCCAAGTAAGGGAACTGTCTATTCATATCATGTCTCTGAAAAATAAGAATACATGTACATGTATTTCCCCTGAAAAATGACTGAATGGAGACAGGTCTAGGAGGTCATCTCAGGAAAATCGACTCTTTCAAATGAGCGTTCTTTACTGGTTGCTGATGATGAAATCTCAAGAACTGATATTTAGTGACAAATCTACCTCGTAGTTACAGGGATCCCTCTTTTAAGAATTCTTAGAACTACCACATTAATATGCATACAGGTATAAAGTAATCCCTATTTTGTTGCATTGATTTGTTCAAGAAAAATATATGTATTTACATATTTACGTTTGGGAATCAGGTCATAAAAGATTACTTTTTGGAACTGCAAGAAAGAGAAAAAGCCATGAAAGTTAGGAATTTAATTACATGTTTAATGTTTCTCCTACACTGTGATAATCTGAGAATTCGGTACGGATGGATGCTATGCTGCTTTCAGTAATAAATGAAGAAAACACCAACTCAGTTTCATTCAAGGATTCCATCCAACAGCAGTTGTTTTTTTCTTTTTTTTTTAGTTTTGTTTTAGGATTTTTGTCAGCAAACAAACAAAATGAAAATGGAAAAGAAACTGAACAGAGCTACACACACATACTAAATATCCAAGACAGTAAATCAAACTCAATCAACTGAAAAAGAATGCAGTTATAAATGCTTCAGATAAAATAAGCCAATTTACAACGTATAAATGAATAAATAATAATATTCATGCCTTTTGTTTAACATACACAAAGGAAGATAACACTCTTTTCAAATAGGTTCTTTAGATTTACATTCTACAAGGCAAGTTCTGAAGTAATGCACCATCTACAGTTGATCTCCTTAATCAATGAAGGTACCCCAAACTGGACAACATCCCTCTTCTAGTTCAACTTACATTTGAGAGGGATCCTCCCGTCTTTTCCACTGGATATATTTCAGGTCAATCCAGTCTGGGAGAGGAGACTGCAAGATTTCAAATGGCTTGTTTCAATGAATGAAGGGGGTACTCCTGCTAAGGGCGTATGGGCTTTAAACAGCCCAAAAATTGGCTTGGCTATCAGTGGTTCACTGCTATGTTTTGCTTCTGTGAACATCCTAAGACTACGGTTAACAGGGATCAATGAGGCAACAATAACACTGGTTTTTGGGGAATGTATATTTTCAAAGCTGCTCTCAAATCTTTTCATGGTTAACAAATTAAGTATGTTTTAACATGACAACAGAACAACATCACAACTTATTTAAAGGGCAATCTGAATGGCCAACCTTCTGGGTGTTACAACAGAAGTCTTTGGCTTGGCAAGCTTGCCAATTTCAATTCCGAAGAGAAACCATCCCTCAAATATACTCGAGTTGTTGGTTTCTGATGACACAGGTTGGTACACAGTTTTTGGGTGCCACTAGCTAACATAAAGTATTGAAGTTATGATTGCCTCTTCCCGAATACATAATTGGAGGAAATTCAACCTCTTAAAACCATGCCTAACAACCAGAGAAGGCATGTTTCATCAGTCCCGCTAAACAAGACAGAAATCAAACAAAAAATTGGGACAAAAAGGAAGAAGTCACTTGTAACCAGCTGGCAGCTGGCTAGAGAAGAGTAGGCATCTCAACATGTGGCTCTATCTACTGTGACACACTTTGGCTCTGCTCCCCGAATCTGGTCTGAGCAGACTGGTGCTGTCTTGTGATGGCCTGTGTGCAATGATGACTAGAGGGGAACAGATGGGAACCGGCCTGTTATATCCACTGGCATGATGACAAGGTTCAGGGCAGGTGACTTGCTGGCTTCCACTGAAGTCAGACTGATCGTGATTGTGTGACTTGTTCAGTGAAAATCACCAGGGGGTTTGGGGGACTACAACCCAGAGTTGTATTAAAACCATCACAAGACCCAACAAGACCCTACAATCCCTTCAGTCTGACTTCAAGTCACAAGCTATTCTAATGAACTGCAACAAAAGCATTCCTTTGTCATTCTGTACCCTGTTACTTGTGACTGGTCTTGTGAAATAATTTTGTGCATGGTCGTGTGTCTGGTCTCATGAATGGTCTTGTGATAGTCTCTACTGCAACACTACTATGAACTGAAGATCACCGCGGGTACAAGGAAAAGGACTGTTCATAGTGGGCATATGGAAAGTGAACACAAATGCGGAACTGAGACGTCATATCAAATACTCTTTCCTCCAATTCACAAAAGCTGCATAAATTTCAACTCAAGTTAATTTAGAAACAAACGTTTTGTGGTTGAAATTTTCTGTGCATTCGCGTTTGCTTGAAGTGTGAACCTGCCTTAAAACAAACGGACAGCCAGTTTCAGGTAACAATCTCTAGTACTGTGACGTGACGTCATCATCTCAGGGCCTTAGTAAGGTGCGTGAACATCAGGTTCATTTTAGTCCTCTCCTGGGATGGGTTTCATTATTTTGTCTGAAGAAATGTCCTCACAAAGTCACGGAGCTGGTACTGGGAGGCCAGCTCTACAATGACCATGGGCATGGCCGTCTCCCTTGAGGATAGCAGCAAGGTGTCAGACTGTTAACCGCAAAGACGAGAATCTGTGGTTCAGTCCAGCCTCAATAACTGTAGTTTAGTCCAGTGTGATTATTTCATTGTCTTCGAAGTTGTCCACGTAGGTGTGGGCACCCTCTAGCAATGAATTGCGCACAGCTACAATGCAGTTGCTGGGTATCATGATACCTTGGAAAGTAAAACAAAGCAAGAATATTAACTTTAAGATATCACCATCATCTAGAAATCCTTTTTTTCCCGCACCGTTTCACTCACTGGAATTGAACTAAGCTCATCTCATCTTAAATCAAATGAAAGTGCGACAGTATCCTGAAACATAGAAATGTGGGCTTGGAACTCACCGACAATCTTGGAACCGTCGTCAGTCTGGAGGCGGAGTATCTGCATCTTGGAGGCGGGTCCTGGCTGCGTGGCCAAGATCTTCTCCACGCGGTCCCACACGCTCAGCACCGAGCCGGCCAGGATATAGTAGTTGCGGCGTCGCAGACCGATCTCACAGGGCAGTCCAACTAAGACCTTCTTGCAGCTGTCTCGCCTGCAGTTTGTATTTAACGAGGGAGTAATTTCAATCATGTTCCCAGAATCTATCTGATTCTGTGTTATCTGTCGAATGGGGTGGTGCCAGACTATTTTAGCTTCAATGCCTCACTTTCGTTTTTTATTTTTCTAAAGATGCTTAAAATATTAAGATATAATAAATCACAAACTTTAAATCATTCATCAGTATAAACGAAATTGATTTGGAATGAACTTTTATTTCATTGCTTTTATCAGGGCAGGAACTTCAAAGAGGCATTGGAGGCCATTGCCTTGATGCCCCTGGTCTTTGCCTCAATGCCCTTTGAAATGTCCCCATAGACAAGTCGATTTTTCCAATACAAGTGCCCTTTGCAAATGAGAAATTGCCTTGTCCTTTCAAAAACAAATTTTCTGCCCTGCTTTCATTTTATTCTTCATTTACCAAAATAAAAATGTTAACCCTATTTTCAATTCAATATGGCCGACTTTTGAATAGTGTGAATTCTTTCTTAACATTTCTATTATTGTTTAACCGCTTGCCTACGGTATCAAACTTGGCCAAGAATTTTTAAAAGTTCAAAAAGGGCAAAATATTACTTCCAACTTTTGATAGACAGACCAATTCCACAAATACTAAACTGTCAGAGTCATTTGAATAGTATCTGTACATCATTCCTCATGGCAACCTCTAAATTTTTATGACACTTTATACAGTGCTGAGGTAGCAGCAGATGGTAAGCGCCGCCTCTCTGCTTTTGCTAGCCGTTCTATCAAACTGGGCTTCCCTAGTCAGTGGTTCCTGACCAAGCAGTGGTCTTACCAGTAAGCATGACTGCAGAGGATCTCGGCGGCACTGTACTGGGCTTCCCAGGCCACCTGGGCTCCATCTGGTAGTACCTTGTGATACTTCTTACTCAAGTCTGACAAGCTCTCCATCTTCCCCTTTAAGACGACAAAAGAGCCATTCAAAGCTGTGCTCTGATCCCAGACAAACATGAAAGATCTTGGCCTATGTTTCAGGAAGATGATGATTTTGACGAGCAGGGAGGTGAAGCCAGAGATTACATTTGTGGAAAGTCGCATTGCAAGTAAAACTGAGGATCAACAATGGTTTGTATGATTGCATTCTGTCTTCACCAGATTATTAATAGAGATGCTTAATTCATTACAAATAAAGGTTAACAGAGGGTGCCTTCTTGTCATGTGATTATGGGAAATAAATATTGATACTTGAACAGTATACATTCACCAAAAAACCAAACAACCCCCCCAGAGAAAAATATATAAAAGAGACTAACAGACGAAAAAAATATCTGAGTCTGTTTACAATCCTCCACTATCAACATTTCAGTCGTTTTCACAGCAGTGGGATAAATTCGATGAAATCACTGAAAAAAAAACTTGAAAATATATTCCCTGTAGGACCACTTCTGCTGCAAATTCACATACCGCTGTCAGGCTGCAATCTTAATAGTTCTTGTTTTTGCCGCTGGGGCCTTCGACTAACCTGCAAGCCGATGTTGGGCTTGTACACGTGACACAACTTCTTCTTGATGGCGTTAGTGGTCGTGCCGTACTTGACCAGCACTGCCGTCCGCCTGTTGTTGGTTGGCTACAGAGTACAAAAGAGGAGAAAAAAGAAGAGAAATATTGACTGCTTTGACATTCTCTCTTTAGTTCCAACCAAACAGCTTTACGTCAAAAGCAGTGTTGTGGTTTCAGCCTCTCAGGCCCACCGTAAGATCATCACAAAGTTAAAACAAGACCTCCACACTGAAATCAAATCACAAGCGGATCAACTGAACTGCAACGAAAGCATCCCTCAGTCAACTTTTCGCACTGTTTCTTGTGAATGGCCGCATCTTGTCATGGGACCGTTCTTGTGAATGGTTTTGTGATGGTTTCAACTCCATCGCTGGCCAGAAACTGAACAAACATTCAGTCAGCGGCAATAGATAAAAAAAACACACTTGTTAAGTTATTATAATGTAAGCAGGTGACATGATTTTTTCTTTGTCCGGTTCTGAGAATACACAATTCTGAAAGGCACCATGGCACATGATTAGACACTTGAAACAAAAAAATTCAGTTCAGAGAAGAATAAATCTTTTTTTTTACTGGTGGAAAATAAATGCTTTGTGTTACTCTTTTTTGCAATGGCAGAATTTTGGCAAATCAGGAAAACTGCCTGAAAAAAATAAATTTAGGAATTAATGAAAGAACGGCCTATTCTACTGACATGTGGGTTTGCCTTCCAACTCACCTGTGATGAGATGTAGAATCCTTCCTCTGCCTTGGTGAGGGCGCTCCACATGTCCAACGCATTGTCCCATGACAGTCCTCTCTCCTGGCTTACCTGAGCAGAAGATGAAACCCTACTAATTGTCAGAAGTGGCAAAAATGGGAGTAAAACCAAAGTGCAAGACAAGACGTATCTTAATTGCTGAGGGTTCGCCTTCATATATCTAATGATTTCATGGCAGTACGTTTGCCCAGGTTTGACTTAAACATATTACCTCCTGCTTGCCAGCTCAGACATCTTTTAAAATCTACCAACAAGCTACACTAGGAGGAGTAACATTTCACAGCGAAAAAGACAAGAGGATTAAGATTACAGACTTAAAAACACTCCTCGCAATTCTATGCTTACAAAACTACTGGAATTTGGGTTTACTGAAATGACTAACAAATATTTCTATTCAAATGAAGTTTAAGTTCTTTCCAAAGGCCTTTGATACCATCGCAGCTATGCAGGACACAGTTTTTCATGTTTTTTGCAAACGTAACATAAAAAAGTTGCCATCATCGTATGATTATGGAAACCATTTCCATGGTCCTCTGGCAACCAATTTGTTTTCCTCAATGAGGGGATCCATTCTGTTGCAAACATTGAACAAGACACTGAGGAACGTTCTTCACATGCATAAATAGCGGTCAAAGGCAGCTGACTACGAGCTCAATGCATAACTATAGAGGGCACCCTTCACAACAACGAGGACAATTTCAAGTGATTTTAAATGATTTATAACCTGACCTTGTGTAGTTCTGTGTGCACTGTGCCTGTTGAGAACTCTCGCACAAACGTCTGCGTCTGAAGCTTCCTGACCTTTTGACCTTGGGCCATTGATCCAATGTCTGTGAGAAAGGGTTGGAAATGGCAGGTGACATGTATAATCAGAAACAGTGTTGTAGTTGGACCATCACAAGACCAGACAAAAGATCAGACACAAGACCATGCACAAGACCAGTCACAAGTAACAAAGTAAAGAATGACAAAGGAATGCTTTTGTTGCAGTTCATTTGAATAGCTTGTGACTTGAATTCAGACTAAAGGTCTTGTGTGGGCTTGCAAAGGTCTGAAGTGGTCTCGACTACAACATTGATCAGAAAGAATTCAAAATCATTTTGGGTAATTTCTGATGAGTAATTTGAAACTGTATTTGGATAAACCTCCATTCTTATAACTACACATAAAAGGCGTTGTTTAAAAGGTCACAGGTTGGTTATTTCATTTGGTTCTGATAGTAATGTTTAAAAATTATGATGAAGAGGAAGATACAAACATGGCAAAGACTTGGGGGGGTCCTTTGGTACCTCTTGGGTTGGTCTCTCGTCACATGGAGACCCTAACAAGGGTTTCAACCAATCATTTACCTACCCAGGATCCCCATGTCATATTTGCCGTCTCTCTTGGCTTGCTGGACGATGGCATCCAGGGTGGCAGTGAAGTAGGCAAAGAGCTGGTTCTGCATCTCCACCTCCATGCCCAGGATGCGGTTCAAGAACTTGGACATGTTGCTGGAATCTGTGGGGGGGGGGAACCAGACAAAAGTGAAAACTTGTACAGCTGGATCTTAGAGCGTCAAAGGCAGAATCACAAGAATACCACCAACTTTAAGTAATAAAAGTTGGACATCTCATACAACCTTTGTTAATGCTAGAGAACCTGACATTTAAGATGCATACTTGTATGGCCAGGTATATTGTCTTAAAGGAACGCTGATAATGCATTCAACTGCAGCTCAGGCATTAGTCAAGTCTGTTCTTTTTAGTTGGTCTTAAACATCAAGACCAGCCAAGCACATAATATTCCCATTTATAAATACCATGTTAGTCAGAAAATCAAAAGAGGTCAATATACGATAAATTTCCAAGGATTTTATTCAAGAATTTTACTTCTAATTTCCCAAACACCCCAATCCATTTTGTGGTATATATACCATGAAATGGATGGGGTATTCTTGTGCAAGTAGTCCAGAAGAATCTCCTTATATGGAATTGGCGCAGGTGTGGCGAGTTCTGCGTGTTGCGGCACACACAGACTCTTGACCAATAGGAATCGATTAAACTGTCTCATATCCAGGTGCCAGCGCATTTTTAAACAGCGGACATAATCAAATTGCAGCAGGCACTATCAAATGTTAATACACAGTCACATTGTAAGTTGTTGATTAGGGAAACTACCGGTATCTAAAGGTATTTATGAATAGTTGCAAACTATAATACAAAATGAAAGTATCATGCAACGTGCCAAGTGAAAGTTTAATGCCGCATATTTAACTGTGGGCACGGTCAAGCAACCACTATTTGTCTGGTACCCAGAATGTATTTTGTGCACAGAGTACCTGGCAAATCGACCAGCGGTCTTTCCCTTCAATGTGAATCAAAGACTTATGAACTGCACTTTTGTGAAACCAATTTTGCACAAAGATTACACACCATCTTCATTCATGTTCAGTTAATAATTTTGACCTCTCCTTTTAAAATGAGGAACCCCTAATAATTATAGAGCTCCATACCTTAACTCACTCACCTTTATCAAGTACTGGAACATTGTATTTATCGTCGCTGACCACCATTCCTACACCAATGAGTGCCTCTCTTGCATCTGTCATGAAACGTTTGAGATCATTGTTACTACGTACAACACACGTCCTAACTTGACCTCAATGAGCGTCCGCTCATTCCAAATTTGTTGTGTAAATAAACAATACATGACACTACACCAAGCTGGAACAGCAACAAACAGCTCTGGGGAAAATGACGCTTGTTCCTACTGCACTTTATTGTAACCTTATGCTAATAGGCAAGATACTCAATCAATTAACAAGAAAGTGTAAATTCCCTGATAAAATGTGCGTATCAAGGATTTACAACTTAAACGGACAAATGAATGACTTTGCTTCAAGCAAATCAATTATTTATTGAGAAATCCGAACACTGAAATACATAGTTAATTATTGCAACTTTGTTACCTCTGAGGAAGTTTCCCTTGTAGTCTGCAGGAGGTGGAACCATTGCATGCTGCAAGTCAACGACTGACTTCATAACGGACTCCAGAGCTGCCCTGCCATACTGCAATACCACACAACCCACAAATTATGGAGAATATCCAAGAGAAAATCATCAGACAGTTCATCAAGCATGTCACTGGGACTCAAATTTTCTTACGTGAGCCAAACTAACCCAGCTGCTAATGTTTCAAGAGCCAGAACCAATTTTTGTGTGTGACTTCAACCCAACTGCTCTTGTGTTTAAAAATTCTGTATCATAAACGACACAATAATTTACATAAAAAGTTGAAGGCACAGTTGCCATAAACAAAAGTCATGAACGAGCAATGTTGCAATTCGTCTCTTTGAACTAACCACGATGAATAAGTACAACAGTTTAAAACATCCCCTGCATGGACACTTGTGGGTTACAACAGTACCTTATTATCAATGTTGAACATACTGAGATCCCTGGTTTCCGTTGCTCGCCTGTCTCCGTGTGTTAAGGCACCCTGCAAATAGAGTATGCACCTGTAACCATTACTACATACCACAAATGTTGTACCTCTGTCTTCATGGACAGACTTTCAGGTAGGTCACTGAGCTTAGAAACCACCGGTTCTGCAGAGTTCTTAAAGTCTTTCATACACAGAGAGACATGTTCCAGTGCTGCTCTATGACCCCAACCCTAGGGTGTGTGAACATTTATACTGATACTGTCCAATTTAAGACTGTGAATCCCTTCTGTTTCCAGCCGCCATGATTCAAAATCTAACTCCCTGCCTTCTCACCATGCTTTCTAATCTCTTGGCGACGATGGACGCAAATCGTCTCTCTCCAGCCAGCTCCGAAATGAGGAAGATGTACTCGGGGGCGTGCACTTGGTTCGATCGATGTGTCCGCCCTGCCAAACCCAATAAAACAGCATGAGCGATCCAGACTACTACGCAACCATGGTACATCATCAATACACAACTAGACCTTCTATATTATGTGCAAATCATGGTCAGGTGAAGGCAACGCAGTGCCATTTTTCTGTCATGTGCAAGAGCCCGCTGCATTCTTCTTGCAAGATTGTCAGCCAAAGAAAGGGGCTGAGTTTCAGAATTCTAGGGTGAAGGGACAGTGTTGTATTTGAGGCCCTTTAACCACTTCCTGCCGGGACTCTGGATCCGGACACGTACGCTTTATATGTCTGGACGGGGTCTCCAAACTCGGACAAAGGGAACAAAGCCTCGTAACAAAAGATGGTACTCGGAACAAAAGACAAGGCTGCTGGGAATTACCGTCATTTTTCATTTTTTCACTCTAAAAAGTGGAGATATTCCTGCCTTGTTTTGAAACAGTATACCACGGTTTGGGGCATTTAGAGCGAGTGGATTACCAATAGGGGCTAGATTAGCATGCAGCGGTGCTGTGTGGTTTATCACCGGGGACAAAAGCGCTCCGCCACCGCAGTGATAATCCACACAGCACCGCTGCATGCTAATCTAGCCCCTATTGAAAAGAGGTAAGCAGCGCACTGAGCCAGGTTTGTGAACAAAAGAAATTTATATAACACCGCACAATCTGGGCTCCTTTTAGCCTGCATGAAATACTCGGGCATCAATAAATTTTGTCTGTCAGGCTGGAGTGGACACCAGACAGTCTTTCATGTGTTTGTAAGTGTCCAGTAAATGAAGACAGGAGTTTTTAATGAATTTCGAAAACAAAAAAATGATAAATATCTCTCCCCAGCATCAACATTATTGATAACTTCCCCGGCAGGAAGTGGTTAACCATATGCTGCCGGGTTTAATTTGAAGTTGCATGACGTATACCCAGGGGATTTCAGGATTTTCCATTTTCAAAATTCTCCAAAATGTCATAACTTCATTTACTGGATGTTTACACCCACACAAATGACTGTCTGGTGGCTACTCTAATCTGATGGACTACAATGATGCCCAAGTATTTCAGACAGGCCTCCAGCCTTGTAAAGAGAGCCCATACTGTGCAGTGTTATGAAATTTTCTTTAGTTCCCGAAATTGGCCAGGGCGCTGCTGGCATCTTTTCAAATGTGGAACAGATTAGCATGCAGCAGTATTGTATAGCTTGTCCGTGGAGCACTTTTGTCTCCGGTGGTAATCTGCTTGGACTGAATGCCACAAACAGTGGTATAATCATTCAAAACAATGATGGATTTCCTTTGCTATTGACAACTGAAAAAATGTTGGCAATTCCCAGCATCTCTGTCTTTTGTTCTGAGTACGGTCTTTTGTAACCAGGCCCAGCTCTTTTGTCCGGTTCCGGAAACCCCAACAGCAAGTGGTTAAGACCATCACAGGACCAACATAAGACCTTTAGTCTGAATTGAAGTCAGGAGGTGTTCAAATCACGTTCAACAAATGTGTTCTTTTCCCTTTGGTCAACCTGTTACTTGAGACAGGCCATTTTGACTGGTCTTGTGACTGGGCTTATATTTGGTCTTGTGACATTCTCGGCTACAACAATGTAAATATGTTGTGAATTTCTGACTTAATATGCAGAATGACGCTAGCCAAAGTTTATCACACAAGTAAAATCAGCTTGCAGCTTCACTGGAATAATTATTACTTGTTCTATCCCTTTGTGCAGAGCAATGGGGAGGGGGCATGGCCCTGATCTTTTCTCCTAGGGAAGGGGTGAATTGGAGAAATGTAAGTAATACAAAGGCTCACCAAATTGCTGAATGGCCCGATCTGCACTCCATGGAAGCTCCAGGGTGATGTGGACCCTGCGTCGCTGGTTGGCAACCCGCTTGTCTGCCTGCAGGGAGATTCCTGAACTGGCTGCCTCCGAGATGATGGCGATTTGCTGTTGGCACGGTGAGGGGCCAAGGGTCAGATGGAAAGGTCAAACCATGCAAGTAAAACTTGTTTTCTTTCCAAATTATGAAGCATAAAGCCACAGAGGAAAACATGGTTTTCGTAATAGTAAGTGTCACCAGGAACCAGACTGACTACCCAGAATGCATGATCTCACCTTATCGCCGTTCATAAATCTCTGCTTCTCTGTCAGGTTCAGGGTTTCCAGTGGAATGTCATACTCGCTTCGAGATTCGTATCGCACGTAGCCATCATCATTGCTCACAACACGACCTTTACGACCTGTCATCTGTTTACGAAAGAGAGAAATTTAGCCTCAAAGGTTTGCAAAGAATGAAAATGGCAAAAATATGAAAAAATGGCAAAAGTCAAAACAGAAACAAGCTGACTCTTCAAGGCACAAATATTCTTGCCAGCCAAAAACCAAGAACGTCTGTTCTGTGGGCATATATCACCAATGCAGAGATGCCAACTTTTCAAAATGAAACAGTGTAATCCTATCGCACTTCCGGTTCCGATTTCCCAACCGACCCTTATTTTTCGGCACGACCCTAAAAATGTTCATCGGCAGATTAGAAAAAAAAAGTTTAAAAAACTTATCATGTCAGAGTTACGTGTTTCGAAACACATAAGCTTCTCCAAGATGAGACTCTGTAATAAAGGCCCGTTTTTGGTGTATTTGTCCCTGTTCTGCTCACTTGTTGCTATTGTGCAAAACAAGTCCAGTTGCTCATAAGATATCCAAGAATCAAATCCTCGACAGTCCTCCAGTCAACTTAAGCACGATTATGATATTTGATGCACGTGTGTACGTATGATATCGGTACATGTACAGTGCATGGACGTACACAATCATGTTGCATGTGAAGTGCAATCATGCCTATTCACTCCCCGATCATCATAGCGTCAATTGGGGCGAACAGATAATTCAACCACGCTGGTTTCTAGTGCTACTAACGCAGCTTGTATGCACAAACTGCTGGATGCCAGCGACACATTTCTGACGCATGCATTACGAGGCCGGCTTTGTGCTAGCGTAGAGTTTATTTTGTGTCTTAGAGTTGGAAATTGTAAAAATCTTAGTCTGGATCATGCAGTCGTAAATTGACCAAACAAATTGTAAAAATTACGCCTAAATCGTACAAGTTGGCATCTCTGCAAATCAAAGTTTATATACAGGTTTTTAAATCAAATGGCTCCCAGGAAAAAAGCAATCGCAACCAGGTATCTTGCTTAAGGACACATGGTCATTCAAGAGGCACGACAGTCTTACCTCAGCTACGTTCTCAGGTCCGCCCAGCTCGTCAATCAGCTCATCCAGGGTGTTGTTGGGCAGGCAGGGACCTAGGTCTTCACACATGTCCAACAGTTCCTGCTTCATCAGGATGGCTCTCTCATAGGCGTCCATGCCTGGCAGGAGCATGGAGTTGGTCGCTGCAACAAGTCCCGAAAACATAATAGCAAACATAATACGATTTGAGGGTGGATAGTCAATGTTAGCTCCCTTAGGTATTGGAAGCCAACATGCTACATGGTGTTCCTTGTGCGTGGATCCTCATGTGCGTGTCTGGTATACAGTAAAAAGTGACTGGCACTAGATGGTGAATAGAACAATGAGCATTCAGCTATCCATCACGAATATGAGGTATGGTAACAAGGAACACTGCATCCCTGGGCAGTACCCGAGGGAGTACCATTTGAAATTAACTGGCCAGGTGATCCTAGTGTAATGTTTTAAGACAGTTACAGAGCTATGTGTGCAAGCATAAACATGTCAAGGTTCAGAGTTCTAGCAGGCAAATTTTTCAATAATAGCAAAGTTTCAGCCGAGTGCACATTTTTTGCAGTTGTTTACTCTCTTTTGTGCGGTGCTAAGTACAGTATTTTTTTCTCTCTAAATGCTCAGGATTACAACCAAAGTTTGTGAGTATTCACCATTTTGCCACCAAGGTGACTAACAGCAGGAACCCTCATTATTTGTAAAATGGGCAAACAGTGCTTGTAACATTTTACTGATGGGCAAAAGTCTTGTGCCAATCATTCTCTCTCTCTCTGAGAGGCCTGTTGTCTGTTCTACAGAGAAAGGAAGTTAACTTGAAATTAACTTTACTTTTTCCACTTGATCAGACAGTATAGTATTAACAGTGAATACAATACTCCTCAATGCATTTATGTTTGACATTCCAACAAAGGGATTATAGAATCAAGGTATCTTCGTGCTGAAGGTTAAATGTCTTGAAGAAAAACCACAGTCTTACCTGCGGGTATTGGAGACATGCTGCTCATGATGTCTGGCAGTTTGGTCTTGGTCAGGATGCCGGCAGCATAGAGGGCGCTGTTCATCTGTCCCTCCAGGCTGGGCAAGGTTGGGTAGAAAGACGGGGCCTTCTCCTTCCTTTTTTCCGGCTTCTTCTTCTTCTTCTTCGTCTTGGTCTTCTCTGCTTTGGGCTTGCGAGTCAGCCAGGGATCTGAGGACGGCATTGTCGAGGCACTATGTTAACTGCAATCCACCTGCATTTCCTGCAGCACTCGATGCTGATTTTACAGAGGAAGCTGGCAATATCTCAGACGGACCAATAAACAACACTTGATTCTTGATTTACCCCTGCACTGTTATTCAAGGAACCAAAATGGTTTTGGGTATTAAACCTTCAACCATTTCGCACCACAAAACATGTGAAGTGTAATAATCTGGCCATCTGAATGCACAGGCTAAAGGGGTTAAACTGCCATGAGTATGGCTCACTGAGGGCCTGTGTTTAATATACATGTTAAACTCATGGCTGGTATTTACCCTAATAAAATGTCCGCAACCAAATCTTTTCATGTTTCAACTTCCACTACTGTTGATCTAAAGGTTGTTTCACGATTGGAATTTCCATGGAAATGAAGCCTACTGGTACACTGTATATCTTTGACAGAGATGGCAATCAACAAATTGGCCTGGATCAACAAACAACTCATTTTGCTTGATCACAGATTTTCTGCCAAACCAATACGGTCTGAAAGGGGTAAAGAGCTATGGTTTTATGCACAAAGACTTTTTTTACTCAGGAGGAGAACTCAAGTCTTCAGTGCTGAAATTATGAGTTGTTAATGTGACGTAATCTGGTCTATTACAGATTGCAAATGTAAAAACCAGCGAACAGACAAGACATCAACGGTAAATAACATATCAACACTCGGTTTGCCCAAAGAAGATTCTGACTTTATGGTGCATACCATCGTCAGAATTGTCCCCAAATGGATTGAAGTCGTCCTCGTCATTGGAGGATGCCTTGGAGGACGTCTCTTGCTCATCGTCTTCGCTCTCGCTCGATGACAACATGATGACGCTCTCATCGCTGTCGCCTGATGCCTCGTTGCCGTTGCTGTTGACAGGGCTGTTCTCCAGGCTGTTGTCCTCCCACCAGTGCTTGGGCTGCTTGGAGGACAGGCCGTTGCTCAGTTTGTCTGAGGGGGAAAGGAGACCAAGGACCAGATCCACTGAGTGTCTGAGGATGTGACCTCGCAAGGGTCGCATCGTCTTAACCACTTCCTGCCGGGCAACCCGTTTTCGAGCACATAGGCTTTATATGCAGAGCCGGGGAGCTCGGAACTGGGACAAAAGGGTTGGGCCTTATAACAAATGACCGTGCTCAGCACAAAAGACTGAGCTGCTGGGCATTACTGACATTTTATCGCTGTCAATAGTGGAGATAATCCAGCCTTGTTTTGAAAAAAAGCTCTCCACCACCGCAGCGATGAGCCACACAGCACCGCTGCATGCTAATTTGACCCTTATTGAAAAGAGGACAGCAGTGCACTGTGCCAGTTTCAGTAACAAAAGAATCTTACGCGACACCGCACAATCTGGTCTCTTTTTCCAAGGCTGCAGACCTGGCTGAAATATTCAGGAGTCAATGAAGGTTACCTGTCAGCTTCAGAGTAGTCCCAAAGAGCCCTTATGTGGGTATAAACGGCCATTAAATGAAATCGTGAATTTTTAAAGAATTTTGAAAACGGAAAATCTTGAAAAGGACCCGGCATTTTGTCTTGCTCAAGAAAAATCCACCTGGCAGAAAATGGTTAACTTCAGGCAGGCTGTAACTACTTGTCCCCTTTTTGGCACAAGTGCCAAACTGCAAAGCTATGCCCCAAGAATAATTCTGGGGTTTCCAATGCTTCATTACCGTACGCTACTGTGGCACTCTAGTTTAAAAGTAAAATATACTTCTCAAGACTAATGGAACACTGTTTCAAACTGAATGAATTACAAAAATTGTCTTGAAAAGAATAAATGAATCATCATTTATTCCCCTCCATCCCTGTAGAAGTTTGTAAGTTTAGGGCCTATTTAAACAGACGAGCAACAACCAAAATATTTTTGAAAAATATCAAAAATATATCAGGTATAAAGATATCAAATAAATCACATTTCTTAAAGGGCTGTCGACATTGAAATTAGATAAACAGTGTAACGGTGACATAACTGCTGTGTTTGCAAGCCTGAGTGATTTTTTTCAAAGACACCGTGCTGAGACGGAATGTTTTAGCCAATCAGCAGTCTTGTCAGGTATGAACTGGCATGGTTGATTATGTCTTCAATTATTCCTGTGGGGAAATTTGGCAATATTTGTAGAAGGTCAGTAGAGTGACTTGCAAACTGAGTGGTTGTAAAGTTTCATTTAGCATATTGCTTACCATCAATGCTTTCCAATGTTCATCTGTGTAAATGGGGCCCCTTAGTCTACTGAATCTTATTACCTCTCTTTCTTTTGATGCCTCTGTTGCTTTCGCTCAAGGCTGGGCTGCTGGCTCCACTATTACTGTTGAGACCAAACAGGTTTGCTGTCTTCTTGCGATTGGGAGCGGGGAAGTGCTTCTCAATCAAGGTCATGAACACACTCCTGATGAGGAACGTAAAATGACTGTCAGCTTTATTGACTTAAAGATTTATCTAATCCATGCATATATTACACGCTCAGGATTCATATTACAAATAATCTGACTGTTTTTCAAAGCAATTATAACTAGCAGCCTGCTGAATCCCATTTGGAAGTCTTAATGACAGATTCGCTAGAAATGGCAAGCTTTGTTTCACGTTTTCATGGCCAATTGGGACTTACTTTGCGGTTGACACAAAGTCATTGAGCTCTCCTCCGGCTTCCTCTAAGGCATCCAAGGTTCGAGCCTCACCAGTGGATTGCAAACCAATCACCACACACTGCAGGGAAAACCCAAAAAATCAGATGTTTTCATCTGGAATGTTCATTTCATGATGTGTTCACACAAAATCACAGACTCCTTGAAATCTGGTATTCTGAACGGAGCGGATTAACGAGTTTTCCTGTGGTATGCAATACTGCTGGGGTCAAATGATATAATACGGTGGGGATGTGATTAGACATCTGCCAACTAATAATTACTGTAATGTATGTTTTGTAGGAGCCAAAGACAAACACTGTGAATATTTAATGCTTTCACTGGGGCCACAGAATAGCCATCTCAACACCATCAATGAAGCCTGGTTTTTTAGGTTTGAATGATAGTTTTTAAGACGCTATTTCATTTGGAAGATTTAAATTCTTGTCTACGGATTGCAAACTGACATCCAGCTCACAACTTGAAGTGCCTCATCAACCTGTTGAACCATAATGAACCTATTGGTCTGTGTACAGGATCTGACACCAGAGAAGCATGGGGGGGGGAGTGGATGGGGGGTGACTAACTCCTACAATTATCCGGTGGGTGGAAATTTGAAAAGTGGAGGGGGGCCGGTGGTGGGGGCCGGACAGCACATTTGAGTAGGGGGCACTTTTCATGATAAGCACACATGCATCTTATGCATACCAACCTCATAAGAAAAACAGTACTTTTGTGCTATTTGTTCTCTATTTTCGTTGCTACTTTGACCCATATTAGTTAATTCCTTTTGCACACTTCTGAAGAGTGGAAAAGGATGATATACTGGCCCAATATCCCCTCTGTCCATCCTCCCTTGATTTATACCCATTGCACATGCCACCATGGAAGATACTAGCTACCAGCTGCACTCATTTCCAACTGACAGATATTTTTCTCCCAGCTGTGGTCAGATACTCTAGACACAGAGCAGGTTGACATTTCCTATTTTTTTTGGTCACCAATACCTTGCCGATCTTGACAGCCTCTCTGGCCAGCCGGACTGCGTGCTGGACCTTGGCGGCGATGCAGAGGTACTTGAAGAAGCGCTGATGGGCTGACCAGAACTGGCCCCACATGGACTTGCGCATTCGCTTCTCGGCACCGATCAGGTCAGCGGCTTGGGTAAACTTCTCCCGGGCAGCCAACCACTGAGAAGGGCCCCCCAAAAAAAGGGAAACATATGACAACCCTTGGCAACAGAGCAAAACAAGAAAGCAATGAACCAAGGTGACAACATTCAAAGGCTCCTTGGAGGGCACTCGAACACCAGTGCTTTAATACTGGTGCAGGTATTTGACCACTCCACCACTAGGCTTGCCAGGGGCGGCTGGCCTATTCTAGTCCGATAAGCAGTGGGTGGCACAGCAAATATAAGGGATGTAATTTTTTTCTATCCTTTTCATCTTACAATATATCAGCAGTGTCTCATGGAAAAAGTTTGCCGCAAGATTTGCCCTGGCAAAATGAGATGATGAATCAAATCTATCGGTTTTCCAGATCTTACCAGGCTGACAGCTCTATTGTAGATTTTCTTAAACTCCTCGGAAAGTGGGACTTCGTTGATGTTGAACGTCACACCTTGGAAGCTCAGCTGCCGGGCAATATACATACCTCGCAGCTTCATATCCATGGCAACTATCTCCATGGCACCAACACCCCTTAAAATACAGAATGCAAACGTCATAAAACTTATCACCACCAAGAAAAAGAATACTAAACAGTACACAGAGCAGGGAACCAACTGACGACTTTACAATTTGCATTAAAATGTAAAAAAAAAATCTGAATGTTATCAAAACCACTGAATGTGGAAACCAAATGAGGATTTTCAGACAATGTTCATAAAAAACAAATAGTAACAACGCTGGTTAACAGCAGAAATATTACAATTCAACTGCATGTTAATTACCTGGAAATGTGTGAACAGCTGTTATTTTTCTATTACGATCCGATTTTTACAAAAATTTAAGAAAGTACTAACCTCCTCTCCACAGCTTGAATGAAGGCCTGGAAATCCGGGAAGGGTGTGCCTTTGCCCCAGATACCAAGGCGCGACATGTAGGCCATATTCCTAGGTTCAGATGCCCCTGGCAACATCAATGGAACATACATTATTCTATTTAATCTTAGTGGCAAGATCTGACTGGTCAACAGTCCCCCCACCCACAGCCCAACAGCCTCAAAGTCTAGTGTTGCTAACATCCTCGGGATTCACAATGGCATTTCTTAAATGGGGATAGAAATGGTCACCACTCTGGAATGTGCTACCCAGGTTTATAAATCATATGGATTTTGATTGCTTTCATTCCAAAGCACATATACACAAACTTATGCATTTCAAATTCGCTTAAAAACCATAAGTGTACTTCAAAGAAATTCCAATTACAATTGTTGAAAAGACAAAAATTAGAAAAAAATCCAACTGCCACGTCCTTGTGTAAAAGAGATACCATTTGGTGCACATGTACATGAATGTTAACTTCTTTCAGAAAATTACTGTCGGTGGTACACTGTCAATTTTCTACATTGATCCTTTGGTCTTTTGTCTTTCATAAAAAAACCCGATACCACATTCTTTTATTGCCAACTGATGACATTATCCATTATGGGTCACCTAATCGACCAGTATGCACAGTCTAAGTGCTGCACCTTTGAAAAATATCTAACTTTTTTAAATGCTGCAGTTTCTCCCCCTACTGTGTGGGTCATCTGCTCTAAATGTAATAGGTCCGATTGGGAAATCACCTGGCTTGATATCAGTAATGACGGGGAATTCTGATACCATCAGTCTGTCTATGGGCCCTACAGGAGGGTCTGGACTACAAGGATGATAACGACACCCACCTGTTGCACTGCAGTACACCACCCTGGCCTTGGGTAGTTGTTTCTGCAGCTCCAGCACGGTCAGGCCAGTTTTGGTCGGCTTGGCTGAACCTACCGGGACCAGATTCTTGGCTTTGTGGCACTCGTCAAAGATGATCTGAGTTGAAGTCAAGGTAAAAGGGAATTCTGGAAAGAAAATACCTTCAACTAAAGGAAAAAAATAGGAGAAAAAAATCCCAGAAATTACTCACACATGGCACACATTTAGAATACCAACAGTTGTAAGAATGAGAGAAAAGAAATATCAAAAAATTAAAAAAGAATAAAATAGAACAAAATTACAATGGTGGTAGCAGAAGGACTACAAAGACTGACAGTGAAATTAATAGCAAAAGCAATAGTGTCACCAAGAGCAACTGTATTCACCACTGTGACATGAAACATCCGGTATGTTCACTTAACTTCAATCACTCTCCATTAACAGGTACCAGACAGTTGGCTACATGTACTGTGAAACGTCGCTATACCGAACACTGCTATACCAAACATTCGGCTGTACCGAACATCGTCCTTGGCTCCCAATATTTTGTGCACAAAACCTACCGAATATTATGCAGTTGCAAATCAAGCGAGATTCGCCACAGCATGCATCAGAGCGATCAATTTTGTAACTCAAGATTTAATACAAAACAAATATAATTATCGGATACATTTCTAGAAACCTCAAACGTGAATGCAGGAAAACAGCAAATTATAGTGTCAGAAGAAGGTGCACTTCAGTTTAATAGACAAGAGAGGGCTCTATTCAACATGGCAACAAAACGTTCGGCAGTTAATTTTGCTATACCGAACAACCGCTGTACCAAACATTTAGCGTGGACCCTGTCATGTTCGTTATAGCGGCGTTCCACTGTAGTACGATACAGCTGACATCAGAACTTTGTACACCTTGAGAGACCACAGTTCGAAGCAGAATATGAATTCTTGTTCCTTGACACTTTGTGAATCTGCAGAAAACCGACTGCAATATCTCTTCAAAACACAAAGCTCAAAATTTTTTTTTTCATTCAGACACAGAGTAGCTGGGAAAAACATTTTAAAGAATGCTAATTTTCTAAAATAGTTTTCATATGAGTTGTGCAAAAACTGTTGTCATTGATTGTACATATTGCCTATGCCTATGCAATACGTTGTGCACGACACCAGGCCAACAAGCCTGGCATACATGTACATCATGATGTTCCAGCAATATGCTGTGTCTGGAAAATCAAATGTACCAACAGAATTGAATACAGGCGGCAAAACAGATTTTGGCAGGGGGAGGTTGAAAGGATACGACTCCGTCAAAGTCCTTGCCACACCAGTTCAGCAGCTGCTTGAGTCGAGTGTGGTACTTGTAGTTGCCCTGGCTCTCGCCGATCAGAGAGGAATAGGTGGAGAAGATGACACCCTTCTTGACGTGGCCGTTGGCCTGGGAACTGATCTTATCATACTTGAACTGCGAATACAGGAGCAAATTCATTTCAAGTTTGGTGGGCATCTGATTAGCGGTGTCCAAGGGCCGGGGAAATTGGGGCAAATCTGGCAATCTGACAGTTATATCCCATGACCAGCTGCAGGCACGCTCCTCACTAGACAACCCCATGGTTTACAGCCTTTGATTTAAATACCAGAATGAGGCACCAGCAGTTATAACTACACTGGCCAGCTCTAGCCATCACTGTAAACCACTAGCTGACACTTGGGTTGAAAATGAGACTTGGAGGCTGCTGCATAACGTGGCAACTTCAAAGCTTGACAAAAACCCCAAATAGTCATAATTACACATGTGCATTGTACACAAATAAAGTTGGTTTGGAAGCACGCTGCTGGTTCCTGTAGCTGATGATATGTCAGCTTCAACTGTCCAGCCCTAAAAACAGCCAGCGCTGGAATTTTTCTAGAAACGATACAACCTAGATTACAAGAATGCATACACTGATATATATGATGTGTGATGTATGACACTGCAACAACACCTACTTTGTTGAGGGAATGGACCAGAATCCTTGCACTGATGTCCCTCAGGTCTCTTTCGGCATCAAATTTGAGATCGTTGGACACACTGAACCTATAAGGTTTGTTAAAGCAAGTACAAAGACATCACAAGCAAAGGCAGAGATGAGTGTGAAACTTTATACACAAGTTACAAAAGACAAGATTTATGTAAATATCGCCATTTTGGTTGATAAACACAAACAAGACAGATGGTCCCATAAACTGAGGGAAAATAAGAGTACCTAGACTGAAGTCTGTGTTGGGATGACAAGAACTACTGCCAAACTGGCTCAAGACTTACCAAATGGAGCGCTTCCGACCCTGCAGGTAGTTCTCGTAGATGATACCTGCTATAGTTCTACCTTTGCCAACACCAGCACCATCACCTAAACAAGGCAGTGAACATATGGGTAAATCTGCATCTGGCTACACTTGGTGACATTTATCTCTAGACTTTCTAAGGTTGGGTCACTGCTATCAGTGTTTATTCAAATGTCATTTTAGAAATCCCATCTTACATAAATAGGCCAAGCTCGAAAGCTATGAGGCATGCCTGGTGTTTAGGTTACTACATGCTCTTTACTCAGCTGGATAATGGAAAATTTTTGATCAAAACTGTCTTTCAAGTGTGGATATCTAAGCTCAATTTTGATTGAAAAACCACCAAACATTCGTTCAAACTGGCACTTTTCAGAAAGTTCTGTTTGGCTCTGCCACACTCATGTTTGTCAACATTAGGCAAATGCCCCTGGAAATCATTCTATCATTCACAAATACTGCCACTGAACCAGCTCATTCAGGACCCTAAACAACTCAAAAGTCATAAATTACTCAACCTAAGCATGCACAATTTGGTTGTTGAGTCCTGCAGAGCCCAGTAACGACTGATTCACAGTGGTTCACTACACAGGACTCTATTTCAAGGATGGATTTGTGCCGGGAAAGGTAAATTAATTTTGGATTTTTGCCTTGTCCAACGTGTGGGTGTGGGTTCGAGTCCCACCTGAGTATGCTTGTGTTTTTTTCCCAAGGCTTCAGGGGCATACACTGAGAATACAGTGCTAGAATACAAGTTGGACAGGCTAAAAATCCAAAATTAATTTACACAGGACTTGACAACATATTATCCACCTTTGGTGGATTTGGCAAAGGTCCTATAAAAACAGTTGGAGGGAAAACAGTCTGAGCTGACCCTCACCGATGAGATAGCCGGCCCGCTCTCCACTCAGCAGCAGGGTCTCATGCTGCTGGCAGGCGTAAGTGACGGACTCCAACTGGAGGGCAGACAACTGCTTCCGGTCGATAACCTCCTCAGGAATGCTCAGGCGATAGAAGATGTTTGGGGGCTGCACGCTGGCCATGGAGCTGGTCTCTACCACGGGGTCGGGGTGGGGTAGACCAATCTTCACTGTACAGGGTGGCATACAGGAAGACGCAAACCCTCACTCTCTAGAATTATCTTTGAGGCACCAGCAAATACCACAGATGTCCACGGTAAACTGAGGTGATCAAGACTTTATCATTTCTTCCAAGGAGCAAAGCCATATTTCTGTGGTCATACCACGTAACATTTCAATGTTTCTGGGCAAAATTTAGCGTCAAGATCCTTACTCAAGAGTGGCTAAGTTGTCTGCATTCATGTACATGTATGCTTACAATGTGTGTCAGATAAATCCCAAATAATGTGATACTGTGTGATAGCCAACCCCCCCAATATATTGAGTGTTCAAGGTATCTATATAATATCTATATTACGCTCAATACTGAATATACAATAATGTATACATATACTTGTATGTCCTTTTATTGGCCTTTTAACATCTGCTCTTTGAAAGTGAACAAACCGGCATCACAAAGGCCGGTTTTGATCTTCTTTCAAATAGGACAACCGGTTCCACACTAATGCTCAATCATATGATCCTCTTACTCTTAATCTGGCCAAATTTATCTATGTCATTGTTCATTGGACATTATTCTGACGCTGTCAGCCCACACCTATGCACTATAAAATAGTGCCGCTCTCAAGGAAACCTTGGTTTCATTGGCAGAAATAAAAGTACATCAATATAAATCAAAAGTAAATAAGGTTCTAAACTTCCAATGCAAGAGGCATGCACTTTCGTACACCTGTACTATAGCTGTACAAAACTGTGTGAACACATTGCACAGTAAATCTGCACCTTTCATTGCTGGATGGCCAGGATGTGTTTGAAGCACATGTAAGGTACTTACGTTTGGAAGGCCTATAGTTGGCGTAAGTTTCAGCATGTCCCATGTTCTCCTCTTCGTCCTCATCTATATCCTCCTCATCTTGTTTCTGTTGGTGCAGATTGTCAGAAATATATTCAATGTACACATAAATACCCTTTTATTTTTTTTCTAAATATCCTGCTGAGTGAATGTTATATGTAACAAGAAGTGAAACCTTAAATTAACAGAATGTACCGATAATGAAGAGTGAAGCCTGTCAAATTCAACAGAATCCAATCTGGACAAAATGCTACAGGAAGAGATAAATTGCGGAAGAAATTCCACATTACAACAGAAACTCGTGTCTACAAGAGTTAGACACAAGTCCAGTTATCAGTAAGGATAAAGATATTTTTGGTCGAAGTTCATTTGAATGGCCTATGACTTGATTAAGACCGCATAACCTATGTTGAATGGCCTGTGACTTTACTAAGACCAGATAACCTATGTCGATAGCTTGTGACTTGACTGAGACCAAATAACCTATATCAAATAGCTTGCGACTTGACCGAGACCAGATAACACATGTTGAATAGCTTGGGACTTGACTGTGACAAAAGATTCAACATTGGCATTGTTCAATGGGACTAGCTCCCATTGTCTCAACATGGCCAGTTTGTTTGGCTGCTGTTGATTGCCCAGTGCATCAAAGTGCATCAGGCTTTTTCACCTGATGCACTGTGCTGCGTCTGACAGGGTTCGCATTGAGGTAAACTGCATAAAAACGTACAAGAGATTTTTCAGTCCAGTTGGTTAACACTTACTTGAACTTTCACTGTCACATGCTTTAACTTGATGTCATCATTTGACCACAGTCGTGAGACGTCCTTTTGTGAGAGCCCTTTGTTGGCTGGGGTTGCTGCCGCTGCAGGGCTGTTCCCCAGTGGCTTTGCACTCCCTTGCCCTATGAAACCCAAAGGGTGGCTGCTGGTGCTGGGTATGCTGTCTAGCAAGGCGCTGAGACCGGCCGGCGCAGTCTTGATGCGGGACAGCCCAACAGGCTTCTGGTACGTCCCAATGGCAGTTGTTGCCGGTGAGGGCCGGGGTGGTCCGGGTGTGGCAATGGTCCGGAAGAAATCCGGCTTGATGTCGTAGGATGGGACGGGGGAGGGGCTCTGGGGAGCCGCAGGTGTCATGGAGCGATTCTTGTCCATGACGTAGACAGTGCCCGAGTTGGTATCAGAGGAAGTTGTGAGCTTAGCAACCACGTTCCCCAAATTCTGCATCTAACAAACACACCAAAAATATCAAACATTGGCAACAACCTTAATCTTATATCTGCATGCAGTCCATCATTTTTAAAGAGTGCGATCATGCAAGCGCTCTTACCATGCTCCTAAGAGAGCGTAAAAATCACTTTCTCAAAAAATCTAAGGGCACTTTACAAATAATGACATCTATGACAAAAACAGTGGATAACATCACCAAACAAGGACCGTGCGACTCGCCGCGACTTTCATACACTGTACGAATACGATCATCGTGAGCGCAGCCTATTCTTGGATCAGACCGGCTAGCCCACCCTGCACGCACCTATAGCATGTACACTGTACATATTATGCTTCCTTAAGCAGAAAACAACCTTAAGCTTTTGGTAGTTACGAAAACGTTGCTCCGTGATACATACAGTGTTTATGCCCACTGAATTCGTGCAGGAAACCCCAACACTGAAGCATGTCTTCCCTGGATGAGTTCGCGGGAACAGTTGTCCAGAAAAACATGGATCTTTTGATTGTTAAAAGTGTGCAGTTTTCAATGCATTTAACCAAATAGGAATGCGTAAGAGTTTCAATACTTCAAAGAAAAGTACAAAGATGCAGAAAAATTATGTCGAAGAAAAATTCATTGCAGCTGCACTTTAAATAGTGTATTTTTAATTTGTACGTATAAAAATTCTGGTTCAAATAAAAAGAAAACAAGCACTGAGATGATTTATGTGTCGCAAACCCATGTTTCTAACAGGACTAAATAAACTAAATTAATATAAAAATTACCCCACGAAAATTAGAAACCATCGGAAAAAGTGAAAACAATAAACTCCAGGGTACAAACAATCATTTGACCTTGTTCCGTACTTCTGTTAATTGGTTTATTTTAAGGAGAGCGATTGCTCTCCTGAGAGATTTAAGAAGAGAAATTTATAGCTCTCCTGAATTTTCTTAAAATGAAGGACTGTGCATGGGTCTTTTATTTCACTGAGTAGTCTTAGTTTATGAAACACTCAATTGGGTTTTGTAGAAGATATTGCTTTGCACTATAGTCGAGTTTCAACTGAAAACTGATTTTAAAAACTTCAATTTCTCAAATTTCCAATATTGAGAAGGCAGTACTATATTGAGAAGGCAGTACCTGTGGCAGAGTTGGAGCAGAAACCAACGCTGGCTGCTGCTGGACGTGCTGTAGTTGTTGCTGTTGCATCCGAGGCTGGAGCTGTTGCTGCTGTGGTGGGAGTTCTTGCTGCTGCTGTTGTAGCATCTCCAGCAGAGGGTCTGTCACATTAGTCTGGAATCCTGTGGGGTATTGCTCCTGAAGTAACCGTGACAGAAACAAACTGGCGTCAGCCCTTCAAGATGTTCAGGTATATTTATTTTCCTTACAACCTCTCTCAAAAGCAAACAGAAGTTAGTGGGTGCATATGCCAACATGGAAACAAGAGTCCACCATTCTAACAATATGTCAAAAGCTGATCAAAGGAATGAAAATAGTAAAAAAAAAAACAAAAAAAAAAAAAACCTTCCCCCTCCCAAGCAAAAAGGAATTAGAACAGGTGGAGTTCAACACTAACTGCCTGACTATCTGCTCCGAGCGGGAACAATAAAGCGCATGTTTTGAAATGAAATTGACAGTCCTTTGGTATGAACTCACCACATACAGTGTACATGTAGGTGCACAAGTTTGTGTGAATTTGACTCGGGGCATGCCGAGTACGCGCAACAAATATATTCTGGAATGTATGGTCTTTATGTGCACGCCGAGCGCATACAAGAACCTGATTGAAAAACTTGGTACCATTCTGTCTTTTTTTCACTAGAGAGGATGCACTTCAACTACGGGTGGATTGACTTGGACGGAAGGACCACGTACTACGAAATATCACATACACTGTACTATACTTTATGTTGACTCGAGTATTACACACTAAAACATATTACAAGAGCTGCACACCATTCACATAACTACATGTACAGAAGTTATAATACAGTTTACTACAATAAGTATTTTTGTGCATGAAGCCCTATGTAAGAGTTAAGGGTTAGGGAACACATTTCACTGCCTTTAGGTTTTAATAAAGGTTAAAAAACCAAGGCGATCAAACCTACTATGAAACAAAAACAAATATACACACCTATGAAAATTGAAAACCCAATAAAAACGGAGCCTATGTACATATACATGTACAATTGAATGTTAACGGACAGTCAATGAACATGCACTAATAAATGTTTCTGAAAATTGATATCTAAAGATTTATTGTATCTCCTGTTTCTCGCAGTGGGTTGCTGATAGGATGCACCAGGCATTGCATTCCCTTCACACATGACTGATTACAGTGTCTCCAAAGAATAGTCAGGCCATGTTGCACCAGTGCCATTGGGTGAAACCAACAAACCGGAACATGGAAATTGGCACAATTTTGTTGATTGTCAGTTTGCACGTTAAAGACCCAAAAAATCTAAATATTAATTTTATACCAATAAGCACATGTTAGTGTGTAATATCCAAGCACAACCATATTTCATCCCTGAAATTAACCCACAACTGACAATACTGTGTTCTACATAACATCAATCACATGGACTGCAAGAATGGGTTCTGGTTTGGTATAGTTTCTGTGCCATACCAGTAGGTGAATATTCAATTCCAACCACAGTAATGCGTACAAGCAACGTACAGTACATGCAGTTTGCTTCCTCATTCCCAATGTGATTCTGTGGGTTTCCCCAATACGATGGTTGAAAGTGCTGAACTGAATGACACAATTATGCAAGTACAAGGTTTGCGGGTAGCTTCAAAGCTCAGTATTTTTCATGCAAGCATTCCAGTTGGTAATTGACGACAAGGCACTGATGAGAATGATTAAAAAAAAACCACTTACAGTTTCGACAGGATCAGGTGGTCCCAAGAGGCTGAGATCAAAGTCATTCTGCTCATTGGGGTCAGCACCAGGGAATTCGTCGAATGCTAGCCCACTCTCTGACAGGGCTGCCAGCAGCAGGTCCTGCCCCTCCTCCGCCAGTCCATTCATCTGTAAGGTCAACACCAACAGTTAAAAAAAGTGGAGATTAAATTGTGATTAAACATATAGTCCATCATTCGTCATTTGTACATTATGTTCCTTAGTCTAAAGGCAACAAAATTACTCAAAATCTAAGAAGAGGTGCCTAAAAACAAACCTGATGAAGTTTCAGCTGAGTGGATACTAGGGCCGTGCTGAGTACCCGGGTACCCGAAACCCGACCGTTGATTAAGGGTACCCGATTTTAGTTTGTCAAACTTATTACACAAAATTACACGTACTTTCTTGACATTTTGATCCAGCATTCCACAAAGGCATGCACCATTTCTATTGATTACTTTCTGGAAAACCATTGGAAAAATCTGAATGGAACATTTTTTGAAACTGTGTACAGACAATTCCCTGTTGTCTACAAAATGTACATTGGAGCTAATGATGTTTACATTATTGTGACACTCAGGGAAAGATATACATGTATATGTATTCTTTGTTTAAAACCGACAATTCCCACCACCAACAGCAGCTTCATAGTAAAGTGTGGGCGTGGACAAGTTGGAAAAACTTTACTTCTGCGTTTTGCTCTGATCTTCACAATAATTACTGGTACCCGGGTACCCCCGTGTTGTGGGAATTGGGTACCCGTGAGTTATAGGAGTTGGGTACCCAGTTCCCAAACTACATGTACGTGCACCCGTATATGCACACCACCAGTGAATACATGTACTTTGTATTCTGAGAAAAACAATATTCTAGGATTTTGACTTCATATCAGACATTGCAGAGGCATGTTTTGAATTGGGCACGAATTCAGCATCTGGGGCATGTTGTCACACTCAGTTGAATGTACAAGTACATCTACATGTACATGTACATAGCTGAGGGATTTCACACACTGAAGTAAAAGTCCCATAACCATCTTAACCCTAACCTCCTAACCACCACTAAAACTGTTGCCATCCACAACGAGGATAAACCATGGATGAATCCTGAACTTAAGGCACTCATAATGAAAAGGCAGAAAGCCTTCTTGGAAGGTAAATTTTTTCTTTGGCGACTTCTGCGGAACAAGGTTTCTCGTAAAATAAAAAATTCCAAATGTAAGTTTTATAAAGGAAGTGTAGGCCACCTAAAAAACAGTAATTCCCGGGATAGGTATAAACAAATCAACAAAAAGTCTGGTCTGCATAACAGAAAACTTATCTAGTGGACAGCCTTGCGTATTAATGAATATGTTTTGTCAGTAGCATATGATATTTCTCTTGCTTATATCTTAGTAAGCAGCTGGCATATTTACCAGCCTTGGCACAAGTGCCATTACCACACAGGAAGTATACCATGAATTGAAAAAGGTGACAGTACATAAAACTGGAGGCCTCGATTTAATTCCATCCAGGTTGATTAAAGAGTTTGCCTATGAACTGTGTTTTCCCTTATAAGATATTCTCAACTGCTCTTTGAAAGAATGTATTGTTCCAAAAATATGGAAGTCTGCATATGTGGTGCCGGTACCAAAGTGCCAACCTTACACAGTTAAACATCTTCATCCAATATCAACGACTTGCATTTTTGCTAAAGTCTTAGAAAGCTTTGTAACTAGTTGAATCAAAAATGATATCAAATGTACTTTAGACAAACAACAGTTTGGTTCTCTTGAAGACAACTCAGCTGCTCACTATTTGACTAAAATGTTAGATCAAATTCATCGCGATACTGATTCGGCCAAAACCTCTGCTGTTATTGTTGCCACAGACTTTTCCCAAGGCCTTCGATTGTGTGGACCACAATATTCTTATTCCTAAATTCATCGATTCCGGTGTTCGTAGATTTATCATTCCTTGGATATGTAGCTTTCTTTCTGAGCGCACCCAGGCAGTCTGTTATCAAAATGGCGGTCTATTCATGCGGGTATTCCGCAGGGCACCAAACTGGGACCTGTTGCCTTTTTAGTCACGTGATCAATGACGCCGGATCTAACATTCCTGAAGTCATTCACTCTAAATATGTAGATGATTTAACACTATGCCAGACATTTAGCGATGTTGTTCAAACTAGCTTGATTCAAAATCAACTTGATGGACTAAACCAATGGGCTAATGACAGTAACATGATATTAAATGCTGATAAATGCCAGGTACTGACTGTTTGTTTTAAAAGGAATGCTATCCAGATTCCAGACTTACATTTAGGTGCTTCGACTCTTGATCAGCTGAACTGTCTTAAAATTCTTGGCTTTAATATCTAAAATAATCTCAGATGGGATATCCAGGTAACCGTGATGAGTTATTTCTTTAATAGAAGGCTTTATTTGTAAGGTCAGCTTAAACGTTGTGGCATATCAATTGAAGATCTTGTAACTGTGTACATGTACAGGTGTACATGCAATATATCAGACCTACCGTTGAACATGCATGTCCTGTTTGGCATTCTGGATTGACAAATGTACAACAGGAATCGCTCGAAAAACTACAAAAAGAGCGTTTCGGACTATTTTATCCATTAATATTTCAAGTCATACACCATATGATCATATGTGCAGTGAGCTGTTTGAAATTTGGCACAGAACTTCTTATTTCTCATCGTTACTGGCTTCCGCTGACGAGGTCCAATAATTGATGTAATGCCAACACTTTGTCAATCCCGAGATGCTGAACTAATAGATACAAATACAGTTCAATCCCTTCTCTGCTGAACTACTGAATGAGAACTACTTGTAATTTTCTTATTGTAGATTGTGTGTCCTATTTTAATTGTTTATAATTGTAATAGTGACATTTTAAAGAACTTGGTTTTGTTCAAAATTTTTAGAATTTTTCTAACTGGCGGTTTTATCTGAGTAAATTCTTTAAGATTTTTTTTTTTTTTTAGCAATTATTGGTAATTTTTTATTAGTGTAAACTGGCCCACAATTCAGCCTCTGGGCTGTGACGGGAGAGTTAAAATAAACCATAATAATAACACAGAATTCAACACCAGTAAAGTGTGTTGGCATTGGGTACTGGTAGCTTACTATATTACATGTATCTGGTGTATGAGTACTGTTGGCGTGCACATACCCTGTTGAATTTTGACTGAAAAGCTACTGTGGCCCTCTCACTTTTGACCATCACTTTTTATCATCAAGAATTTCAAATGAATACTGTATTTTTAAATATTATGCAATGATAGAAAGCTTTCCATTGAAAATGTAAGTATGTACCATTACAAGGACAACCTTCCTTGTTTCTGACCACAATGATCCCAGCAGTTGGGGGAGGGATATGCAGCATGATGGTGCGTGAGTTTGTTTGAATAGGTACTGCCTGTCCATACTCTTTGTACTGTGCCTTGGGCCTGCTGTACCCAATCAAACAGAATCACACAGGTAAAGACCTGTTGGAGTGTATGATTGGGTACTGTTGCAGCAAGAGTACTGTTGAAGTCTGTGGGATTGGGTACTGTGAGGTAAGAGTGTTTTTCCAAGGTGTTGAAGTTTGTGTGACCGGGGAAGGTTAGATCCAGCAACCCTTGGGCAGTCAGGGTTAAGACCAAGTATCCATTTTATCAATAATTTTGTCAGTTACTTATTGGCCAACTGCATGTGATGGGCTGTGACTTTAAAAGATGATCATTTTACAACCATAGAGACAACGAGCATCTGGTTTGATAACTTCAAGCATTTTCACAGAAAAATGGTTTAGAGATAGCCCTTCTCTATGTCAGTATGGGCAACTACCATTTTGTTCAATCTTCACTTCCCGCAAGTGAAAGGAGCTGCTATACATGTACCTGTCAGTAATGCAAAAAAATGTCACACTAACAAAGACTTTATCACTTTCCGATGACTACATACAGATCTTTCTTTGTCAAAATTCACCATGCACAGGACAGATATCTACATGTACATATTCAGTGGAAATTCTTTCGGGAGAGTCTCTTAGCAACTCAACTGATGCACTTCACAGATTTTGGGGCCAGCTGTCTTGATACTGTTACAAATGAGACGCCATGTAATATAATCTGTCATGGGTGGTTTCAACCTTTATCTCCTCAACAGCTGCTATCACCAGTGGACAATTTCCTCATTACTGTTTAGGCCAACAGCTTCCTTCCAATCCTAGACAAACCAATGCATGTCACCCCTCTAAACTGCCTTTTTTGTTGCTCAAATTTTTCCCTAAATTTGTAAAAGAAAACCCCAGAGATTTTTTTTCATGTGTTTTAATAATAATTTGTACATTTATAAAGTGAAAACTTCATACAAATATGTTCAAATGTGCTGTACAATGAAGACATTAAACATAGTCAAGTGAATGGCATACAAGGGCGTCTCAGGCAGCTGCCAAATGACCCAAATCCAGCAATAGAAGCAGTTACAGTTTTAGTTTTTCATTTTAGTTTGGTGAGAGGAAAACCCAGAGAACAAATTTCGGGGTAAAACCCACCGAATCAAGAAAGGAATGAAAATCCAATCCACATTTGGACCGAGCCAGGAATCGGATGTGGGCCGCAGGGGTGAAAGGTGAGGGAAGAACTACTTTGCCAACCAGACTCCCACTATTATGACCCTCAGCATTATTACTATTCATTCTGACCTCTCTGATGTAGTTCAGGCCAGTCATCCTTTGGCCAATGCAAACGATGATTTAAATTAAAGGCAGAGTTTAATTTCCAGCTTTGTTTCTCTGATCTTGCCATACGTTTTTTCGATTTAATCTGTCTATTGTTTTGTGTTCTCTTCTCCAGTAATAAGTAGATGTAGATGTACATGTACATATATTCCAGTGTTTATTTCTATACAGATGCTTTCTGTCCTGACCCACTATTAGATACACATACTGTTTCCTTGGTCTGCTGCTCTTCTTGTAATCTAGTTTGGAAGCCTTGGCCTACAGAAAATGTCTCTGTATTTTCTATTTACATGTACATGTACTTAACAGGACATGTATAACAGTACGATTCTTTTTCTTTTTCATGTCCTTTTGCTTTAAATTTATTTCCTTCTTGATATTTTTTCCTACAAGTGCAGCATTATTATATTCATTTCCTTCTACAAGAAGAGAAATAAACATACTATATACAATTTTCTTTGTGCACCTGTTGGAAAACATGGACATTAATTAACCTCTGCCAAAATTACATCAAGCAATGAAACAAAAATGTTCCAAAATAAGGCTGAAAAATAATTTTTCCTTTTTCCTTCAGCAATGTTAGTTTTCCCACTTGAGCTGAGTGGATTTGTCTTCAACAAAAATACAAGAGTGAGATAATCTACAATTGGCCAATATCAAGAATGGTGACAGGCAACATCTAGAATTCTTCCCCAACTGAAATTTTCCTTAATTCCTGCAATGAAAACAATACATGTAGGCTTACATAAATGTACATCATTTTTCCCCCTTAAATATCAATATAGATAAACTCCTTGTCATCACTCATTAATTTCAAACATCAACATACCCGGATCCCTGCAAACATGGCAAGCCTACAAGTCATGCAAGTCAGCAGTCACTGAACTGAAAGGCAGTCTTCAAACAGCGTATCCTTCAATGTTGCTAAAAATACACACAGGCAGGACACGTATAAATGATAAAGATTCCACACAACAGAGCAGTGCAAAGGCAGCAAAACCAGTGTCAGAGGCCTTAAAAGTAACATGACTAACTTGACTAAAAATAAAACTAGAGCACGTACAAACAAGAGTACACTTCTGCCTTGGGTAAGCCTATTTCAGGTTCATTGAATTGACAGCAAGTATCCAATTCAATGTGTTTATAATGTTCGTGCCACAAAATTGCTGACTACTGATGTGATCAGTAGTAATTATGGTATAAACACATTCATGACATTATCAATGACTGACATAACTGATCAGTTATGACATGTATGAGGCAATGCCGGGACCGGGAAGGGGTTTTCCAATACTTGGTCACCGGTCACATGGCCCTCTTTGAAGCTTTGCAATGCATGGATCGAGTTAGCCCCACTAGTGTGGCACGGATCACTACCGATCTATCCTTAGTATCGGGAGTGATCCGTGCCACACTAGTGGGGCTAGGATCGAGTAATGGTTTCCGGCGCGGTAGGCCCTATGTTAATTTCCGCGAAACTCGTCCCGTCCGTACCAGAAACAATCATAGGCCAACGTACATGACAATGTACATTTAAACCGCAGCGTGAATCGACAGCAACGCAATGAATCAGCCACGGCGTTTAACAAGTTTAATATGCCTGCTTACCAGGAACATTACTTTGAAATCGAGTTGAATCTTATAAAAATAAACTCTGATCATATCAAGTGTATAAATTCTAAATTTTTTACCTCAAAAGTAGAGCAATGAAGCCGTTCAAATGATCTCTTATCGTGTCACTTCCTCATCATCACAAATTCTACTCCATGTATGTACATGTCGTTATTTCGCGCATGTGCATTATTAATGCGCGATTTTCACCTTAGGCTCGTGCGCATCAAAAGAAGCTGTCTCAAATATTTTTATCTTAGTTCTCTAACATGCATTTTCTGTATATCATTAAAAAATGAGTCTCTTTTGCTTTTTTAAAGTTCTTATATCTTATTTTAGAATTTTAATTGCCTAAGCCACGGAAGAGAGTTGACCTAAAGAGGCCACCAACAGGCTGCAGTCGGAACATGTCAAACTCAGCACCTCAAATGATATGGAACGCCTAAGACGCATTTTATGCAACCACAGAATCGTTGACGCTAAACATTAAAAAAGCGGAATACTGTGTTAAGTTTATTTCCTTATAAATTACAAATTCGTCAAAATATTTTGGTCTGATTTTATTTTGGCGATTACCAAAAGAAAACCATAAAGTATAATTCCATAACTGTTCATCTGCCTACGAAACCACTGCATTTGACTGTTCCTGTATTTTATATTTTCGGAAGTGATAAGTCATTTTTGGCAGAATATTTCTATTTTAAGTGAGGTAATTTTTCAGTTTCTCTAAATTAATATGTTACCAAATATTGTACGAAAGGGCTGTTTTATAATTTGAGATTTTAAAAAGGAACTGAATGAAGAAATGTTACTAATTCTATTTTTTTTTACACATTCTTTATCCTATCCAATGGTTCAGGAAGCTCACCATCAGGGGGCTACTTTCAGGCTCTATCGGGGATGGGGTGTTTGTTTGAGAACAAGCTTCATGTTCAGCTATTTTATTCTTATTTGTTACAGAGAGTAAAATGTTGATACGTGCTTCATGGTCGATTGACGCTTCATCAACGATTGCCGCGGGAAAATTATCCGTTGACAAGATCTTGACCAATGAAAAGTTGTCAATCATTAAAATGCATCACTGATAGCATAAGTGCGTCACTGATTCGGCGATTACATTTTATTGTTAATTTGGTGTTCCATATAATGTCTGCAAAGTCAAACTCGGCACGCACGTGTAATGGTCATTTCGCCCGATTTCCTGGCACGCGCCCCTGACCACTTCGCCCCAACCAAATTCCCCTAAGGGTACAGACCACTAATTCAAGTGAGAATTTTTGACCAGCTCATAAGCATTAAAAGTGACCCCCACCGTATCTTTTGAAAAAGGAGATTGCTTGGCCCCCAAAATGGTGAGATTGTGTAAATCGTTGCCAGGATCAACTCCCTGGGTCTTTGAGCTTTCATATGAAAGCAGAAGGGCTTGCCACTTGAGAAATGGCTGCAATCAGACTTCGGAAAAATCACTTTTTTGGGGGTGATTTTGTTTTGTGGGAATAATTAAAAATTTAATTGGTTTACCCACAAAAAATTGAAAAGAAATTGAAATATAAGTGACCAGACAAGAATTTCATTTGTGTTTCAGAAATCTCAGGGATGTTGGCGTGCATGATATTGGGCCCTGAACGGTGCTGATTTTACACTGTTTTCATTGGGGCTTGAATTAGTGGACTGGACCCCTAACCAGATCCCCAGGCCCCTTTCCCTCTTCGCCCCACGTGCACGGCCACTTCATCCCGTCGCCACTTCGCCCTAATATAAACTTTCATCGTCTTTTAGCTTTAACCTAAGCGAAGGCTGCAAGTCGACGGTTTGTCTGCTCAGCGGACCCTAGTCCGCTCTGACTTGAAGTGCACACTCACCGGCGAAAGAATGCCAGTGTTGAACTGAGTTTGTTCTCAACACGGACGTGTATAATAAAATCTGGACTCGCAATGCCCTTAATCAGC